GTCTACTTTAAATCTTTCTAATAACTGTAAATAAAACAGGCATGGATGCACGTGGCGTTGCATGTTCCTTTACATGGCTTGCTGGCCAAGTATGAACCAAGCCTAAATAAACTTCCAGAGCAATGCTCAAAATTAATAAGAGTCTTTATTTCACTTATATTTTTTTTATTTCAGGAAAATTGTTTTCTGTAAGGTTGTTGTTTGTTCTGTTTACTTTGTAAGAAGTAATAATTGAGCTTACTTGTATTGAAATACTTTTTTCATAAGGGATTATATAAGGGATCCTATATACATAGGTAGTTAGCATGATATATCTGGTGTTAATATTTGAAATGCTTACCTAATGGAAAGACTGGTGAGCCACCACAAACAAGGCAGGGAAGTTGGAAAGTTAACTAAAAAGATGAAATCCAAAGTTGCCAATATTTGGTGGTAGCTCTGCTTTTCTTAGTGGAGAATTACATTCGAAGGCACAGATAAATAACTGGAACCATATAATATGTCCTTTTTAGATATTTTATCATTGTTCATGGAGAAATGACAAGTAGGATTTATATTCAGTTGTGTGTCTTTTGCTGTTCTTCTGGAGAATTATTAACCCGAAGGTGTTTTATGTTTCACTACCAATTCTGGTGACTGCCTGGACCAGTCCCTGCAGTTTTGGCAAGATTTCGGAAATGGTTTGCCGTTGCCTCCTTCCTAGGGCTGAGAGTGAATGACTAGCCTCAGTTCACCCAGCTGGCTCTGGGTCTAAGGCAGGACTAGAACTCACAGTCTCCTGGTTTCCAGCCTGGTACCTTAACCACTACATCAAACTGACTCTCAATACCTAATGTGCTATAAGAAAACTTGCCTATGCAAGTCATTGCTTCTTTTAGTTTTGCTGATTGCATTGGATTTTTAATACATATGATTTCTCTTTTTCTTTCTAGGATGGGTTACTTGTACTTCACTATGGACTGATTCTTAGTGGAGATTCCACATTTTCAAGAATCTCTTAAATTTTCAGAAAGTGTTTGAAGGAGCAAAACCTCATTTGAGAATCGCACCAAAAAAAAAAAAGCCATTTTATTTAAATGAATTTAAAGAAATGCACCGTGTTTGCTCTGCATAATAATTTAGGAACTGATTTAAAGCAGTGAGAAAAAGAAACACTGTGCCAGTAAGTAAACTCTAAATACTTCAGTGCTCTTATATCATCAGCACCTAGCTCAGGGAAGAACAAGCTTACCAACATAATAGAATTCATTTTAAATATGTGTTTTGCAGCATTCATGACTACTCTATGGGTAGTCTTGTACTTGAGACTGCAAATTATCTGAAAGTCTTTAAGTATATTTGCAGTGCTGTTCTCAGGGATGATCTCTTGGACCACAATGTCTTATTGGGAAAAATGTGTATTATTCATGGGGACATTTGAATTACATTTTAGTTGTCAGTTTAGAAATAAAAAGACTTTCAAATTTTTCCCTATAGATAAAATGGGGACTAATTACCCTTTAAAAATTGCAAGCATTTATATCTCATATCTTATGTGAAAAAAAATTAAAATATGTGATCTATCAAAATCTGAAAAAAGGAATGAATCTATGTGACTTATAGATCATCACTGTATGAATAGCAATGTAAATGTAAAACTAGATGAGACAATAAATTGGGCTGCATTGGAACAGGTGTTCCACTGTTGTTTATACCTCCAGTCTCAGTGGGAAAATAAATGGGCCGTGTCTTTTCCAAGTGTTTCAAACAATGCACTGTGTTCCCCAGGTAATAAAAGTGCACTTGAATAATAAAGCAGGAGCTGGCTGAATGGTAGCAATGCAGTAACAGAGCCAGAACAATGGTCTTATTGAAAAATATGAATTTGATTAGCTTACTGCTAAAAATATTAAAACAATATAAAAAATGAAATACATCAGATATGAGAAAAAAGCCATAGAATGACTCAGTCAATTGCACAACAAGGGTATGATAGGATTATTGAAAAGCACAGAGAAATTGTTAACAATTATTTTGACTGGCTTTTGCATGGGATTACAATGCCTCTGACTTTTTTTTTTTTAATTGAAGGCTAATTCTAATTACAGCAACTCAAGCTAAAACTGTTGGGACAAATTTATGAATTACAAATATTAAATCTTTGGTTCCATCATACAACCACAAATTCTTGAAGAGTGAAATATTACAGTTTTTGTTCTATTTTTTTAATTTGATAGAGTAAATAAATTAACTAATGTTACCTCAATTTGTAAAACATTCAACGTAGCAAACAAGTAAATTATTCAAATTGGACTTAACACAGAAGAATAAGCTTTTCTGAGAGAAAAATAAGCATAACTTTTGTAGACTGAGATCCTGCATTGCCATGTGGAAATTTTTCTGGAGTGTCAGCTAGGAATGCTCCACTACATATACTTGAGCATCTAAGTCTTGAACATGCTACCAGACTTTATGTGTACCTTGTTGCATAGACTAACATGACTCCTCCCACTGTAGTGGACACATGAGAAGTTTAGACGGCTTTCTTCTATCATTTTCTACATCTCTAGAATCAGAGACAGTATGTTGCTGAATATTGCAAGGAAGCATTGTTTCCAGAATCTGTATTTGCGCTTTATAGAGAGGCCTCTAGTCCTTCAGGGCTCTTCCTTTCTTTATACTTGGAGCACTTTCAGTAATCAGTCTTAGTCAAAACTTTTTTCACGTTCTATATTAATAGATTATTAGGATGGAATACACAAGAACAATTGTGATTAAGAGCTGTTTGCTTGTGCACAGTTTAGATTATCAAGAGAGGAGTTTTCAGAATTCATATGTATATCACACAGTATCTTGGGAGGCTCCATTATTTCTCTTTTGAAGAGGAATCTGCATTTCAAATTGAACTTTGAATAACCATCCAAATCTTGGGAATGCCGTTTCATTAAAAATAAAGATCCACAGTGGAATCTGAAAATATATGTTTTGTATTCCAATTAATTAATTTGATTGCAAAGCATGTTCATCTAATCTGTAAATCATATTATATTCACTATATGGAGAAACTCATTTGTGGTGGTCTCTTTTGTTTCTTTTCTTTCACCTATGCACTATTCTGCATGAAAAAAAAAATTCTCCCTAAGGCATCATTCCAAATTATGCCTTTTCAAGTAAATAGACAATATTTCATTGTCTTTGTTAAATACGTCTTGGTCATTCAACTTCATTGCTCAATATTTTCTTATTTCAAGTTATGAAGTATAGAGTTTTTGTTCTGTTCACATTCACCTCATTACCAATCATCCCATTTTATTGTCCTATATGTGTACATATTACTATGCATCTACTTTCAGTACCCATTAGTTTCTGAGTACACATATTGTAAGGTAATGGAGGACTGTATTACTGACTTCAGAAACAGAAAAAACAGTGCTATTCACTAAGATGTGCAAAATGTTTTAATTTCAAAATACTTTGAGTGCTATTTTCACAGAATGTCCTATCTTGCATTCAAAATGGGTTGTTTGCAAATTTGCTCAGTGGAAGAATTTTGAAGTGATACATTTTGCACATTTTTTCTCTTTACTATGTAAGAAGAGCAAGTGCGATAACATTATTGCATCCATTTGTCTCCATCCAGGGAATATGATTTCAATTATACTGTGCATTCTTTTCCCCTGTACTAATACAGTATTCTGCCTTTGGCCTCTTTGCTTATGTTGGGTAATTTTTTTTTCCTTGAAAGCAGCTGCCAACATCATCTTTAACCACCACAGAATGATTCATTCCTTTCTCCTTGCCACATCGATTCCCCCACTTTTTTTTTTTTTTTAATCAGCTTGGTTAGTGTTATAGTTTTGTAGTTGGTCAGTGGCCCAGAAAGGGAAATGGTTGGAATTTTTGTGCCAAGTGCATAATAAATAAATAATACATGTGAACAAAGAAATCTTGTAGCAAAAACGGCTTCAGCAGAGGTGGAATGTAATTCAGTAAATATATAAATCAAACTGTAATAATTATTTCTATGTTCTGAATATTGTTATAAGACATGTTTATATGTGGTTGATGACATACAGTGGGGCAAAAAAGTATTTAGTCAGCCACCAATTGTGCAAGTTCTCCCACT